ACAGTTCGAAAGAACAAGAAAATAGCAATAACCAAGAAGTTATTCGCGCAAACACAGTTTGAAAGAACAAGAGAATAGCAATAACCAAGACGTTATTCGCGCAAACACAGTTCGAAAGAACAAGAGATTAGCAATAGTCATGCACTATTCGCACCTACTCGATTCGACGGAACAAACGAACATATTAACAAATAAACGCCACAAATGAGGACTCTTTGGATTCGATTAAGCGGGAGCAGCAACATTGTTCGCAGCTACACTTGAGAAGGAAAAGAGTAAAAAAGGCAACAAAGCAACAAACTGAAAAGAAAACACTTCAGCGCGATGACACTTAAGCACCAGCAGTATCAGGCTGAACATCCTCTCTGCTCTGCTTGCGGCGCAGCAAGGGCTGAACATCCTCTTCCTCGTCATCATCAGCTTCCTCGCCACCTCTACCCGCGCCCTCCGCCTTCTCCCCTTCTGGGAGCTCCTCCTCTTCCCCGTCCTCCTCCTCATCCTCCTCCCCTGACTCAGAGTCAGACTCCAAGGGTCGCTTCTCGCCAATCCACACCTTGACGTGCTGAACCATCTCGCGAGTATCCCAGCGAACCCTCGGGTTCTCTAGCCGAACCTTCTTCCCGACCGCGATCACGGCCTTAGTCATGGCGTCCCAAAATCTTCCCGAAGGAGGGAGAAGACTTGAACTGATGAACGGCCGCAACCTCGGCCGCGCGAACAGCTTCTGCTTTTGCGACATTATGAAGGCGGACCAGGTAGTCCTTCTCCTTTTGCAGCTCTTCGCGATCCCGCTTCAGCTTCTCAGCGTAGGAGGCCTCCAGCTGCGTGCGTATGGCGGCGCGCTCCTCGACCCGCACCTGCTCTTTAGCCGCCTCCACGTCGGCGGCCAACTTGCTCTGCAGGATGCCGAGTTCCTCCATCGCTTCGTTGGCCTTATTGGTTGCCACGTCGGCATGACTGTTCGCCCCAACGACCTTCGCCTCCAGCTGGACGATCTTCGCCTCGTCGTCCTTCATCTTTGCGCACTGCGATGCGCGCTCCTTCTGGGCCCGGAAGGCCGCCAGCAAACCCAACACACGCAAGCGCCCCAAGACTTAGCAAAAACTAGCAAAGATGATCACATAGTGTCGAGCAATCAAAAATAACCTCACCGCAAAATGAATCTGAGCTAGGTCTTGCAGCGGATCGGATTTCTCTATCCGCGCAGGGGTGCTCAGGTGGGGCCCTAACGCGCGAAGCACAGTGTTTGCTACCACGCTGTTGCAGGCAGCGCCAGTATGAATCCGCACGTCGCGGAAGTAGTTGATGGCAGAAGCCATCTCGGGCAGCCTCTGTTGAAGCGTCGCACAAGAAGAACTTCCAGCCGCCGACTTCTCTGGACGCTGAGCCGCATCAACGCGTGCACCGGACGCGTCCCCATCTACGATCACGAGCGGCAACTGTTCTGCCGCCCGCTCAATCACTCGCTCAACAGCCCGCTCAGATTGAGCCGCCTGCTCAGCCACCGCACCGGTTGAGCATCAACCCGAGCAGCCTTGCGGGGCTTCTCTGCCACTAAAGGCTGCTCAACCTCCTTCCTCTTCGCGCGCTCAGATGGCGCAGTTTCCTTCTTCTTCGCGCGCTCAGATGGCGCAGTTTCCTTCTTCTTCCTCTCTCCCATCGAGGCCCGCAGAGCTTTCACCACCACGTTGTCAGCCGACATCATGCTGACCAAGCTCGAGAAGTCAACACCTGCGCCAATAAATCGTAAGAGAGCGGTTAATATGATAGAATGCATAAGGAAAGAGACGCAACTAACCATCAGCAAAGAGCTCCGCCAAAAAAGCTTCGCGAACCCCGCCTGTGTACAAGTTGAACTTCTGGTTCAAGCACGCTTCATATTCAGCGTCGAGCCTGTCATATTTGCCCAGGTCGCGCTCATAGCCGTGCGTGCTACCCTTCTTCCACACAGTCGGCTCCTCCATGTACTCACTCACCCACTCCTCCGGCGTGGGCTTAACATAGAAGAAGCGCTCGAACCAAGTCTTCTTCAGCTTAGGAGACCCGTACACAAAACCGTCGGGCCTCTTGTCGCACCGCCTGATTGAGAGGCAGTCACTCCTTCTCGTTGGCTCCTTGATTTATCTTGCGAAACAAACCGTAGGACGGCGGGATATTGAGCCTCTTGCACGCGAGGCGGAGGCAACTCGCGTGCATAATGACAGAAGGGGAAAGACGACCAACAGAATAGTTGAGCCGCCTGTAGATCGCGCATAGCAGCGGGTCAATGGGGAACTTGAACCCCATCACCCAGTACTCGGTATACACCCCGATCCACCCTGCGGGGCAATTACCAACGGTACTCCGCGTTGAGGGAATCGCATACTCCCAATGGGGGGGCAATCCCAACCCGCACACGATCTCCGTCACTTCCCTCCGCCCGTAGATCGACGCGTGATCGGGCCCCCTTAGAAGACTGTCCTGCGGCGCCGGCTGATCGCCCCACATTTCTGCCCAATCGAGTATCTTGTACGCCGCGCCCACACCGAGGAACCCTAGGCGGCTTACCGCCTCATATACGCGTGCAACGCAGCGCGGCTCTGATTGCGTGTCAGACTCTTCACGCGCTTCACGATTCGCGCTCCCAGACGCACCCGCACAGTCGCGTCTGATTATCAGCACGCCACGGGTACCGACGCCGGACCGCACGTTGCCAGACACCGTAGCATCCACATCCGATGAGCCACGGCTGTCCGGTTCCGAACCGACGTCGTAGGACGGCGTCGCCGGAACCCCACCACCACCAGCACCGCCGTCGCCCCCGTGGCCGGAATCAGCAAGATCCAACGAAGGATCAGTAGAAACACGCGAGGGAGAGGAGAGATTACCTTCTTCGCCTTGTACGACCTCAATCTCGTTGACGTTGACGTTAGCCATAGCAGACTCCGGAGTTTTGGCAACAACAGATTGAGAAAAGAGGTTGTAGAAGAAGGAGAGGAATCTCGAACACACTCGACGTAGAGAGAATAGGAAATAGAGTCGAAAGAGGCAGAAGGGCAGAATGGAGTCCAACTCCCCTGATGGTTAGCTATTTATAACCGAGAGAGGGAAGCCAAACAGTTAAAGTTGCTTCGAAATACGCAACCGTCAGAGCCTTTTCGAAATTCAAAACGGCCGCCAAAACAAGCCAACCACACAAGGACACGTGGACACCTAACATAGACATATGCATTAGGCACTAGCCAATGATGTTGCAAGCTCCGCGCATCGCCTGGGGGGCATGGCACACCCGCGGAGAGAAACAAAATCCACAAAAGTCCAGGCTTAGTAGAAAGCGTCACACTCAGTCAAGTCAATCGCGCGCAACAACAAAAACCACCAGCCCAAAAAACTCCTCAAGAATCAAACAGAACCGAGCCAATCGCGCGAAAATCGAATGGCGCCAGCTCTAAATAACACCAGGGGGGCATGACACACCCTCAGAAGTCCAAGCTTATCAGAAAGTGTCACGCGCAGACAAGACGATCGCGCGCAACAATAAAAAAAGAGAAAAACACCAGTTCTGAACTCACGAGGATCGCGCAGAAATCAGAGTCAAGCGCGCACGAAGATCCCGAAGATCACGCGGACCCGAGTCAATCGCGCGGAAGTCAAACAGGCGGCGTTCGCAGAACACCTCCTGATGGGGGGCAATTATTGGGCATGTGACTCGGATCCCGCCGCGCCAAAGAAATACAGACACCAAGAGACGGGCGCACCGGCATCGGCGCGAGCAAGCGCACCGCCGAGCGTCAAATACCAAGAAGCGGGCGCGCCAGCACCGGCACGAGCAAACACATAGGCGAGCGCGAATACCTAGAGATGGGCGCGTCAGCGCCAGCGCGTCCGAGGGTAGCCCGAGTCCAGCATTGACTAAAGTAGCGAGAATGGGAAGCGATGTCGTGTCCCACCTATCGGGTAGTTACATCATGGTCCTAGGTATAATGAAAGACTAAGTGTACTTGTCCTAGGTAGGGATATGGCCTAGTCTTCTGACATGTCAGTAGTCATGTCACTATGACAGGTCACCATGTAACTCACCCACCACCATGTAGCCTATAAATAAGGCATTTACTCCGGTGGGTGAGGGGATCGGATTTTTCTGACTCTATCTCTAAGATCATCAACTTCTCTCTCTAAGATATTACCCTTTCAACTCAACTCCTTTCTTTCCCTTCTCTGTTCTTGGATCCACGGCAGATTCTCATTGCTTATTCTTCTCAACCCATTTCCCCGAACCTCACTCCTACACTCAGTTAGGTTCAAACAAAAATAATAGCCAAACCTTTTCGAAAACAATCTAATATCCAAATCGTCAACTTTCCGTCCGTTTGAACGTTGGTTGACACTTCAAAAAAGGTTTGTTTAGTGGAAATTGTCACAATACAACTTTGTTTTCTTGTTTTGGCATTGCACATGACTGAATATTTAGATATTCTATACCATCATGGTCGAGTCATGGACTTCTCGGGTTTGGAACCACGATATGTTGGTGGTTTTTCAGAGAAGATATCGATGGATATTGATGAGCGTCGTACTTCGAACTTTTTTGAAGTGTCAACTAACGGTCGAACGAACGGAAAGTTGACGATATGGATATTAGATTATTTTCGAAAAGGTTTGGCTATTATATTGTTTAAAATGAAAGTTTTGGATATTAAATTGTATTTATTCAATAAAAAATTATTATAATTGAGTTGGTGCTGATGTGTCGGCTTAGTTGTAATTCCGTCCAACAAACCGTTACTGTTAACCGATTATTAGCCATATTTTAACTCGAAATAATTATTTGTATTTTGATAGTTGTTACTATAATTTTCCATTACTTAATAATTGTGGCTAATATATTCACCTTCTTTTATTCAAAACTCAAAAGTACCGAATTCTTAACTTCTGCTTGTACGGGTAAAGTTTGATTAAAAAAATAGTATTTACTCAAAATTAAATTTTCATCTAATATTCTTCCTTAATTCCTTATCCACTTCGCGAGATGTGGCCTCCGGCGTTCTCGGACTCAGATTGATTTCTTCATCAAATTCTTGAATGGGAACAGTTCTCTACTACTCCTTGGGCATCTCTCGAATTGTTTGTTTCAGAGTCGCCGGGGGCTGTTCGTCGTCTTTGATCGGCGTTTCCAGAACAGCAGCTCTAGATCAACTGGACAAGGAGCTTTCTTCTGGAAACGAAAGAGCAGCTCTCTCTCTCGTCAGAGATTTGCAAGGAAACCCTAATGGGCTGCGATGCTTCGGCGCTGCACGACAGGTTCGATTGGGAATGTTGAAACTTAATCCTCAATCTATTCCGAGTCCCATCTTAGTTTGGAACCCTTTTGCAGGTTCCTCAAAGGCTGTACACATTGGACGAGCTGAAGCTGAATGGGGTTGAGACGGCTTCTTTGTTGTCGCCTGTGGATGGGACACTGGGTTCTGTAGAGAGGAATCTGCAGATTGCTGGTGTTGTTGGTGGACTTGCAGCTTCGAATGCATTTGGGTTTAGTCCTCAGCAGATTTTCTACTTCTCCTTGGGGCTGTTGTTCTTATGGACATTGGATGCTGTAAGTTTCCTGCTCTTCATGGTCCCTTGAGATTCTATTGCATTTGTTGATTGGCGGAATTTAAGAGTTCATTTCAGCAGCGATGTAGTCACTTAATTCGACTGTATGTATATCGTAAATCGTAATTGGCGTCGAATTTGTAAATGAGGTGACTGAAACACAGCATTTTCTTTTGCAGTCTTACTTTCATCTTGCTGCCATATGACATAACTCGAAAAGGTTACCGAGCAAGTTGAAATGATATGGATTATTTATCAGGGCGAGTTTGTTATTTTAGTTGTCTCGGTACTGAGTTCAGTGTCACTAACAGGAGTTCTTTGACCAGATTTGGTATTTAGTCCAAAGTTCTGCAATATGCTCCAATAGAACTTTAAGCTGTTAGAAAGAAAAAGGTTTGCAATATTTTTCTTATGTTTAAGATTTGCTTTTGTTGGGATAATCTGCAGGTATCATTTAATGGAGGACTAGGCAGCTTAGTTCTTGATACATTTGGGCACAACCTCAGTCAGAAGTATCACAATAGGGTCATCCAAGTGAGCAAAACTCTTTGTTTCCATTCTCCTCTATGTTTAACATGCATTCCCTCACAGCTTTGTACTCTTGACTCTGCAGCATGAAGCTGGACATTTCCTGGTTGCATACTTAGTAGGTGTTCTTCCGAAGGGATACACCTTATCCAGCTGGGAAGCTTTGCAGAAGGAAGGATCGCTCAATGTCCAGGCTGGGACAGCCTTTGTGGATTTTGAGTTCCTCGAAGAAGTAGGTAGCTGTTGCTAGGCTATAATCTTCTGATCTAAAATATAAGCCTGGTTACCATGTTCCAACACTCTTCAACCTTTTCTCATGGGGAAATGCAGGTGAATTCGGGCAAAGTCTCTGCCACGGTATGTATTCGAGGCCTCTTCTGAATTTCATATCCCTATAGCTAGTTGGACTGTCTGTGTTTCCGGGTATAGCCTACATTTGACAATATGATTTTAGAACATCTATTGCTTGGACTCCTCTTGTGGTTATCAGACTCCGAGCATTTGATTACCCGTTACAATCTGTCTCAAACCAATTCTGTTAAGATTAGAATTTCACTTTTTAATGAGAACCAGACTGACTGTAGCTAAATTCACAGAGAAAAATTTAGGCAAAAAATATGGTAAGGTTAATCTCATGATTATACAGGTCTTTTGGTCTGGTGTAATCTGCAATGACATGGAATTGAACATATATATATATGGTAACGACCGATGTACTTTTGAAGCATACCATATATATAAAAAAAAATTTATGCAGTTTACTTTGTTGAATATGACCGAGTCAATCTAAATGCACCATACATAATAAGCAACCTTGCTTGCCTGGAGTAGAAGGTATTTGGAAAATTGCAGATTTCAATAGTATGTCAATTGAAATAAATAAAATCAATATTACAATGCATCGAACCAATTATAGTTTCAGGCTTTGAATGTATCTGATGCGGGAATTCCCCTGGTTGGTTTTGATAGACTCTGAACAGATTTGCATGTATAGCACTAGCTGGTGTAGCAACTGAGTACATCTTGTATGGTTATGCCGAGGGAGGACTTGCTGACATAAACAAGGTCTCATTTTCCTGAGCACTTGCCTCGAACTGTTCTTGTGTATAAGCTTGCGAATCTAGTTGGTTTGTTAAATCTCTTTTTCTTCCCTTCTGAAATTCGCAGCTGGATATGTTGCTCCAAGGGCTTGGTTTCACACAGAAGAAGGCGGACTCCCAGGTCAGATGGTCGGTTCTGAACACCGTCCTGTTATTGCGCCGCTATGAACGAGCTCGTGCTAACCTTGCAGATGCGATGTCAATGGGAAAATCGGTAGGCTATTGCATTGGTGTTATAGAGGATAGCGTTGATTTCACAGATATCTAGTTGCTGTTACAATAGCCGTTGTAATTATCTTTTCTTCGTGTTACTTTCATTCGTGTAAAGGATCAAATGCCCATAGGTATGATACGTTCCAATGTAGTTACACTATCTAGGACTTCAACATTTGGATCTATATACATGAAAAGAAAGGAATGTTTGATCAAAGTAATATTTTAGTTATGAGAAAATTTCTTGGTGGTTTCCGGTGAAGTTGTAAGTGTAAAGTCTGAGTTAGGCGCTCTCGTGAGTTTATCAGATATAGGTTGGAGTAGCTTTTGACGTATGGGCTGAGATACTCTGGTATTGATCTTAACTCATCCTTCAATTATAGCTTAATCATTAATAATTCTAGCTAATATTGTATTAAAATTTGGAAGTGGATTAGCACCCTACTAATTTATCTATCTATCTATCTACTATACTTATAATACGCCGAAGGGGGAAAAAAGCTTCCCCATTTCAAATTTCCTGCAACGAGAGTGAAAGTATGAAGGACATTTTGGTTTTCACAATAACTTTTTTTTATTCATTAAAAAGACATGTACTAGGATTCGAACCATGACCATTTTATAGAAAAACAAGGATCATAACCAATCACACTAAGTAGATTTGTTGTATCTTTTTAAATTAAAAACATATAATAGCAGGGAGGAAAAAACTCTTCCCCCATTTCAAATTCCCTGCTCCAGGAGCGTTTGTAGGAAGGGTAGAATAGGGAGTGTCAATTTTTTTCTCTTTCCTCTGTGGAACGGGCCAACTTACCGTACACATGCGGATTTAAACGGGTCCAAGAGTGTCAATTTTTTTCTTTAATCCCTTTTATTTCTCCGTGGTGATAAAATATATATGAAAAGGCAAAAATAATACTCCTTTTATTGTTAAAAATAAAAAATTTAACAATAAACTAATGAATGGTATCTAATGGCTAACCGCTAACCATAAAATAAAAGAGTTGAATGGGTCTGACCTACACGGGATTTGGCCATCAAGTAAAACAAATGAACATCATTGGTTTGCCATTCTAAAACAAGCTATTTTCTCTGGCATAATATATATTATGCTATTATTTTATATCTTAGTGGCTAAAATATAATGTATTTTAAAGTTATTCAATGGTTCAACCTCGACCAACCCAATTAGTCCAATTTTTATCATTTCAAATATATATTATATAATTATTTGATATCATAATGATCAAATTATAGTGTATTTTATAGGGAATCGTTTGATATTTGTTAGTATAAAAATAAACTGAAAGATCTATTTGGTTATTTTAAACATTAAAACGATCCTGAACATTTTCAGTTCCTTTTGAATTTCTATGGTTTTATTCCCGAATAAGTGATGTGCAAATGGCGAATTGCAGTCATCTCTTTTCTTTCACTATTTTTTATTTTCAAATAGAAAGTTTAAAATTAAAGAATAATTAGGATTTTGGCCCGTTTGTTTTATGCATTGCAAATTTATTAGCATGTTGATGGAAATGGCTTGGAAAAAAGACATATAAGTTGTACCTTTGTAGAAATGTCCTCAAATGTTTGAATGCTTTGCGAATCAGGTTCCATGACTTTTGTGACGTTGTATGTGCTTGACGATTGCTCGATGTTGTAACTACTTAATTTGAGAGTAAATCTTTTGATTTTCCCTATGAGTTGTGATACCAAATCTGGTGGTTGCAGCATGTTGTCGTTGTTGGCCTGTTAAAGTTTTTCCGTCGTGATGCTAAATACCTTTCTTTCTTTTTTAACAAATTGTGTAGTAGTGCTATGAAACAGACCACCCATGAACGCTACGCTTATTATGGTCTATTCTTACTTCCGGTGGTGAGAAATTGTGAATTGAGAATCATATTCGCTTACCGCACTATGTCTGGCTGGTGGCTGCTTACTGTGCTCTCTAGAGTTATGAAATAGACTACCCATGAACATTTACTTAAGAGTCCATAACTTTGCGAAAAACCAAATTTAGGCAATCAAAGGTGGTGGATGTGTGATGATTTTTTATGGCTTAATTGTTTGTGAATTGGATATCTGATCTTTGTATGATTAGAGGGGATGTTTGCTTAATAGAATAATCCATTTTAATTCATGTTTATTTTTAACATGAACTTTAGTAACTCAAAACCTTCGAGACACATATCACCTACTGCATTGTATCATTTTGCCTGGGTGCTTGTTGTGTTGTCAAACTTCTTTGTTGCTGCTACATTTACACTAACAGGGGAGTTAAGAACCCATGAATGTTTCCGTTTGACACAAACAGGAGGACTTGCTTCTAAATCGTGCACTAAAGATGATTGGAGGAAACATCTCTGATGCAGTTGATATACTAGAGACTAGAACAAAAGCAACGTATAACATCAAAACCAACCATCTGAACTATTAGCATTGTTGCTTTACTCTTTTTTCGTGGTTGAGTCTCCTTAAAAAAATTTAGTTTGATTTTAGAAAATTTTGCTTCTGCAGTCCTATCTTGCCACCAACGTGTTCAGTAGATGGAGATGGCGGAGGCGAAGGCTATTTTTGTGTTGTTGTTTCTGGTTTAGGGATCGGTTTGTGAAGAAGAGGGAGAAGAGAGGGGGGAAAGGGAAATGCAGGAGAGGGGGATAACTCTTTTCTCCGACAAAAATGGAGTGAAGAAAGGAATTATGATCAGTAAGGATATGGTTATCTTACATAACAGATCTATTCCGTTTGGATTGAGCTTGGGAGGCAGTGATAAGGACGAGCTGCAACCAATTCATAGTGAGAAGAGAGCTATGAACTGTAATCATGTCTTATTTCAAGTTAGAAGGTAGTTTCAGTATAAGGATTATTTAAATTGACAAGTTGTTTCGTCCATGATTCTTGGTAGTTTCAGTGCCATTCTAGCCATTGTTTAGTCTGTAATTTTTTAGAATTGATGTGCGAGTAATGACTTTCACTTAGCTTCAACTATTATGTGTGTATTTATTGGCATGTGATAGAATTCTCTTTTCCTTTTCTTTGAATTAAGTTTCATACTCTAATTGTATCATTTGTACATAGGCAAATCATGCTCGAGATGACAACTCGCTGATATGGCTGGTGCAAGAAATGAAGCCATCAGTAGAATTCAGACCGACAACGGGGAGGGATGCCCAGGACTAATTCAATGATGATTGATGATGGTATAATAAAAACTGCAGTCTGCATCAGCACCAATTTCTAGGCCTAAGTAAAGTTATTCAACCCAGAACTCTGTTTAGCGCTAAAAATTGCCCTCACCCAACTTTGATCCTGTTTGACCCACTTCTGAAGAGTCAAGATATATGACTAATCCTCTTCGTTCGTATTTTCTTATTGACTCTTTTCGACCCTTTAGGTTGGGGCGGGTCGATCCTAATCAAGTGGAATCCCAATCCCTTCACTCTCACTTGCTTTCTCTCCCATTCCACAAATGGGAAACATACAGTAATCCGGCCAACGGGCCGGGTAATAAGCTAGTACTTATTATAAGAGTATATTAGTAACTGTCCCCTTTTCCTTTCTCTTACCCTCCTTCCTCTTCTTCTACGTTGTTTTCATTGGTTTTCACATACAAAATTATAATTTTGGTCCCTAAACTTAATGGATTTTTATATTTAGTGTTTAAAATTATTTTTTTTACATGTAAGCCAGAACCTTTTCAAAGCCCAACTATCTCCTTCGGACCTGTCCCTAGCCTCATTTTCTCTTTTGGAAACTTGTCCCCTGCCTTTTGTATCCAAATCAACCCCATCCCTTCCCCGGTTCCATACCATCCCGCCCCTTCCTTTTCAATTTGTTCCCTCTTCAATGTCTTAACCTCTCCCTCCCTTTTCTTCCCGACTCTACCTTATCCCCTCCCCGCTGCACCTGTTGTCTTACCCCCTGAATCTTCCTCCCCTGATCTTTGCTCTGTTGATGTCTCGGATCATGACCGTGATCTCGAGCAAGACTGCACGGAGATTGTTGTTTATCAACCCTTGGATGGGGATTTTTTCAAGTAGTGGCGGGCAGAGCAAGATCTCAAACGCATCCTTGAGGTGGGCAAAATTTTTAAGCACCTTTTGAAAATCAACTCAGAACCCTTGTCGGAAGATGCAGAGCGGCAATTTGAGGAGCTGGCAACATCTACAAAGGGCAGAAAGAAGAAGGCAGCACAGAACTAGACTTCAAATGGAATTACATCGTTTGGGTTCCAAACAAGATTGTGCTACGACCCCCCGTCGGGGTAGGCGGTTCTGTAGGAGTGGGGCGAGTTGCCAATCTAGTGACTAGAGTTGTTTGCCTGCTGGTCTGTTCTCTCTTCCTGTCTTATGCCGTCGATCCTGGCTTGGAATGTGAGAGGGTTGGGAGACCCTGCCAAGAGGGCTAGAATTAAGGCTATTATTAGAAGATGTCGTCCCTCTATAGTTGGTTTGATTGAGACAAAGTGGAGGTCCTGTTCGCAATATCTCATTTCCCCATGTTCTTTGTTTAATGTCGTCTTCGACGTGGCAAAAAATTGGAGGTGTTGCAGGAGAACACGACCTGGAACACGATCGTGTTTCCAGGGTGTGTTAACCTTAGCATGGTCTGTGAACATGGTAATGTTGCTGAGTGTGTTGATGTTGACGTGGTCGCGGAACATGGCCATGTTGCTGCCTACGTTGGTCCTTTTGAAAGCTTTTCCTTCAGTTATCAACGGTAGTTTGACTCTGCATCGTCACTTGACTCGTCAAAATAATAGTCGACATGTTTCGTATAATGACACCAAAAGGGACGCGGCTGGAGTGGTACGGCTCTTTGCCCTAGTCCGGGACATTGCGGGCTCGAGTTCCACCGACGCTAGATTTCGAACCCTAACCATCATTTTGCTTTCTTCCCCTATGTCCCTCGATCTTTTGTTTCTTTTGGATATAATGCCCTGAAAAATCACTCAAACACAAAACCAAGCGTAAAACTGGAAAATCGAATGAACTTAATATAATTTAGGTCATTTTAGGATATAAATATGTTGGTGAAAAATGTGTATTTTAGGTGTCATCAAATTCCCCCACAGTTAATCCTTTGCTTGCCCTCAAGCAAAGCACGAAAAATCTAAGTTCAATCAAAACCAATTTCACACAAAACTCCAACCGAAAGTTAGGAAGAGGTGAATCTCATATGAATGCTAAAAATGATGCAATAGGTAGCGTGACATGGATGCTTTCAACCACCACAAACGAAATTCGATCATAATACTCCTGTGACATGTGCAACTCTAACTCAGATTTATAAGTCTCTCTCACCCGACCAGTGGGGTCAGGGTAATTGCGTGTAGCATGTAATTATCACTCTTTCCCTACCATCTCTCTGTCATGAGCATGTTGTTTGAGTCTCCAAAGTTGTGTCACCATTGACTTGTCAGGTAGGTCTTTGATCAGGAAGGTCTCCCTATCTCAACTTTTTTATTTAATAAAGGAAGCAGAAAGTCATTTGCTTAAACCATTCACACGGAACCTTGAAAAAGGGTTCAAAATGATTTGAGGCTTGAAGAACAAGGATTGGATTAAAATAGGTTGCCAGCGAACAAAAAGGCTCGTCACAACAGGGTTTGACTACGGGATATGATGTTCAGGGTAGTCATTTTGGTTGTAGGGGTAAAACCTATTGCCTCCGTCATCCTTATCAGTGGTGTCACGACTCGAACATGTATAAATCAAGCATATCATCATGCACAGAGAGGGATCTAACACACAAGAAAGAAATTAAACAATCTTGCTCAAGTCTCACGTGGCTTACTATATGCTCGGTTTCTCATGCTATACTTCCCAAACATTATGCAACAACAATCAAAGATGATAAACTTCTAATTCAAGATTTCAGATAGTTCTTGCCATCAAAGAATAAGTAGCACGAGAAACATTTGTTTTAATCCCTCAGTCGTCATTATAGATTGACATTTATCCAAATCACACTATTCTTGTACCAATTTTAGACAAAGATGAGACTAAAAACAAAACACTTTTTTTGTATTTATTTGAATTTTTGTTTTTTTTTTTAAATTTTTTTGATTTTTTCAAACTCTTTTTTTATGCTGAGATTATTGAAAACACAAATCACAATGATTCTTTGTCATAACATATGAAAACAATTGAGCGAAATATACCCCCCACACTTGAGATGTGCATTGTCCTCAATGGACGTATTTAAATTGAGGATATGAATATTTACCACAAATTTTCAGTAGTTACGACCATTTTAGTTTGTCGGCGTCCCTGTGGAAGGACGATGTCGTGCTTTTGGTTCCCTAATCTTCACACAAGTTAGTTTCACAAAAAAAAAAAAATCAAAAACAAAAGAAAATATGATGGAATTCGTGGCTGAGAGATGAGATCAGTGTCCGAGTTGTCCGTCATCAGGTGTGTCAAGAGGGACCTAGTTGTGATGTGACCAGTAGTCACGCATGTTATTGGTCAGCCACTCAGTAGCGTCACTGAGCCTAGTGACCTCCTCAGAGAGGGTAACATGCTGGTCATGCTGCTCCTGTTGCTGGCGGAGTATCTGGGTGTTTTGCCTCAAGATCTCTTGTTTTTGTTGAAATATCTGCTGGTTGAGTTGGTAGAGCTTGGTAATGGTCGGGTGGACTTCGGCTCCTGATGTGCCCTCTGCACCTCCCCCGATACTAGTATTGGTACTCGATCTGTCACCGGTACCTACAGGTGCGGTCAGTGGAGGACCCTCTGGCTCGTCAACTGCCACATAAATGTTGTTTCTCATGAGGACCAGTGACATGAAAGTGAGAGTGCGCATCACGACTGATCGTGGGGTGGTGATCCGACATGGATCTGGAGGTGGGAGTGGGCAGCCCATATTTCTTTCCAAGTGAGTGATGTACATGCCGCCATGGAGTGTGCTTAACCTCTTATTGGAGCGCTCATAGAGGATTCGATCCAAAGACCATCTGAGGTGGATCGGGCACCGATGAAACATGGAGTAGATGATATTATCTCAATTGGATCAATCTTGAAGATGAAATTGCTTGAGAAAGAAGGAAGTGAAGCTTGGAAGAAAAAGAAAGGAAAATGGCTAAGTGTTGGGTCGAGTGCGAGGTGCCTACTTTGGGAGCTCATATCTGTCAAACCAATCGATGAAAATGTTGGTTAAAGGTTTCAATTTGAAGTTCAAAACTATATCTTTCGATTGGTATGTGGTGGAGCTCGAGGAGATGCCAGGAAGAGTGTTTTTCAAGGCCAACAAGATGCTATGAAGATCCTGAAAACTGTCTAAATTTGGCTAATGCGGAAACTGTTTCAGTTGGAAGAGAAAGAGGGGGTTTCCTTCTACAACGACAAGGTATTGGATGAGATCGAATCAAATTGGAAGGTCATCTGCTAGGCATGAGAAGATGGTATCGACACTGCCAAGTAATCCGAATGCCATTAGGATTTCTAGTCCTATAAGAATTACACTTTTATTTCGATTTCCTTGTTGATTTAGTCTTCCTTTTCAGTTTGTGTATGTTTATTAGAGTTAGTTTATGCATATAAAAGGCTTGGATTGTACCTTGTAACAGGAAGATCACAATTGAATAGAAAACCCCAAAATTTGACAACTTGCGAGTTGAGTGTTGACCTTAGGTTTTGGTTGCGATCAAACCTAGTTCATTTGAGTCTACTAACTCAGCCTTCCACCCTCAAATACTCGAAGATAACCTCATATCTCGAGTGCTTCTTCCCAGGTGTGAAGAAACCCTCATTTTCCACCTTTTCTTGAGCTCCAAACTAGCTAGCTAAGCTGGTTTTGGTGTTATGTTTCTTCAGGAGCAAGAAGGGGTCTCAATTCATTCGAATTGGAGCCTAAGCTGTGTTGATTCTGATCAATCACCCCCCCTAGGGTGATATTAAGTGGTATCAAAGCCCCATTTTACAGAGGGAAAGGACGACGAATTCAAAGGAGGATGACGACACCGGAGTTGCGCACTGGATAAGGTCATGAGGCCCTGTTTCAGAGGAGCCCCTGCTACTATAGGAAAGGAAGAAGAAGAAGAAGAAGCAGACGGCGGAAACGTCCCTGCAATCACCCGAAATCCTTACATTAAGGACCAGCAACGACATAGAAGGCACAATGGGGGAAGGCCATTCCATTACAATGCCTGAACTGCAACAGTTTTTCTAGGAATAGGTAGTTGCCCTGTTCCAGACCCAGATGAATTGACAAGACGAAAAGTTTAAAGAATTGTCGAATAAATTCGACAATCTCAACCTAATGAGTGGAAGATCTAGGTCAAGGCAGAAGGCAATGGCTCAGGGAAACGACAGCAAATCCGGATCGAGTGCAGACTGAGGTCAATTTCCAGCCGCCGGGAAATTTGGAGTCACCACCGGAAAATCAAAATCGAGAAGCCGATCGAATCCTCATAGAGCGCGTTCAGGACTTGGAACGCCAACTGATGGCTCTGGAGATCCCACATGATGACCGGCCACTCAGGAATCGATGGCCATTCGAGAATCGCCGGCTCGAGCACGATGGTGAAGAAACTCCGGTCTCAAAACTCCGAGGAATTAAACTGACGATTGCCACGTTTCACGGCACCAATAGTGCTTCGGCTTACCTGGATTGGGAGCGCAAAATCATGTTGTTCTTCCAATGTGGCCAGTACACGGAGAATCAGAAGGTCTTGCTCGCAACGTACGAGTTTCAGGACTACGCCACAACTTGGTGGGAACAGGTTCAAGTCCGACGATGAAGAAACTTGCAAGCCCCGATGACGAAATGGGAGGACCTGAGAGGGATGATGCGAGAGAAGTTTGTTCCTGCATATTACTGGAGGGAATTTCATGAATCCCTGCAAGCAATTCACGGAAGTCGATCTGTCGACGAATACTACAAGGAACTCGAACTGCTTCTGACCAGAGCAGACGTCCGAGAAGATTCCGAGGTAACCATTTTACGATTCTTCTTCGGGCTAAACAAAGAGATCATGTATGAGCTAAAGCTTTGACAGTTCGTTGATTTGGAAGAAACCATCCACTTGGCAATGAAGATCGAGAGGCAGCTGAAGCAGAACTCTGGACGCCGGTTTTCAGCACCCAGACAGAGTAGTCCGGCAGAATCAACTCCTATCGTGACTCCGGTCGCAATTCGACCACCAAATCCGACCCAAAGCAGCCACGAGCATGCTGGAGGCCTTGTGAGCAAGATCGAATGCTTCAAATGCGGAGGGAAATGGCACAAGTCTTTTCAATGTCCGAATCTGAAAACTATGATCTTGAGAAAAGGAGAATTGGAAGATGAAGAGGAGGACAAGCGGGAAGAGATGGATGAAGAGATCGATGAATTGATCGAAATGGAAACTCCAGGAGGGTCCTTGCTTGTCAATCGACGAGCTCTCACGATGGAAGAAACGACACAAACCTAGCAACGGGACAACCTGTTTCACTCCCGTTGTACAATTCAGGGGAAAACGGCTTCTCTAGTGATCGACTACGGCAACTAAACGAACCTCATCAGCCCGGAGACATCACAAACCGTATAGCCTCTACGGGCTCAACGATCACGGCGCAGTGAAGGTAACAAAACAAGCCTGGGTCAATTTCCAGATTGACCAGTACAAATACCGCATTTGTGCGTTGTGGTTCAGATGCAAGTGGCACCTCTTCTTCTGGGAAGGCTGTGGCAATACGACCGAGGTGTAACTCACCATGGCCGGACAATTTGTTACACGTTCAAGCTCGACGGAAAGAAACTAAAGTTGAGTTCACTTTCACCGGCCGAAGCCATAGCCGATCAACGGCAATTGGACGCGAATCAGAACAAAGAAAAGTAGGAGAAGGATGAAGGCGCAAGTTTGATAGCTCGGAGGTTAGTGCTACTGCCCTGAGACGAGCCCCAGTGCAGATTTGGCGGAAGAGAGTCTGTCCTGGCTCGTGTTGCCGGCAGAACAGAGCAGGAGAGAGGGGCATCTCGTCGGAGCATCTGGTGAAGAGTCGAAGCCCGAGAAGACCTCGGGCACATCCCAAATTGTGTTAAGAAGCTCAAAAACCAGTTGGTTTGGGACGACGATAGCCGAATTACAACATCAGATTCGAGCCAGAAGTGCCCTGAACATGGGCAAACATGAACGGAAATCATGCGAATTGGTTGGAACGATTGGGCATGATTCGATACAGGTGGTTGATGCCAAAATGTTTGTCTGTGTCCAAGTAAGCTGTAGGAGTACTCCAATTAGCCTGAAGATGGCCGAATCGAAAAGCCCCAATTTTTGATTGGGATTTATGGGCTCGGAACATTCAAACAACGATGATGGCGGGAAAGAAAGAATGGGATCGTCGTCGTTGCACACGATGATTCGAAGCACGGGACCTATCTAGAAGTTCGATTCAAAGGCTAACGAATCTCGTGGTGACCATGAATTGGCCTGGAGATACCCGGAGAAGAAATCCCTAATTCAGGACCTGAAGAACAAATACTTAATTTTCCAGAACAAAGGTTTCAAGCAGCTCACTTTCGATCCAATCTTGAGCCAGTTCTGTGAAGTTTATGATCGAGAGCATCTCAAGCTTTGAGGGCAAAGCTTATTCTAAGGGGGGGCTTGATATGATCCCAATTGGATCAATATTGAAGATTAAATTGCTTGAGGAAGAAGGAAGTGAAGCTTGGAAGAAGAAGAAAGGAAAATGGCCAAGTGTTGGGTCGAGTGCGAGGTGCCTACTTTGGGAGCTTATCTCTCAAACCAATCGGTGAAAATGTTGGTTCAAGACCTCAATTTGAAGTTCAAAACTTTATCTTTCGATTGGTACGTGGTGGAGCTTGAGGAGATGTTAGGAAGTGTGTTTTTTAAGGCCAACAAGATGCAATGAAGAATCATGAAAACTGTCTAAATTTGGCTAAGGCAGGAAACTGTTTCAGGATACTAACTTTGAAGAGCCATAACTGGAGCTTGGGAGATGATCTCGAGCTAATTCAAGTTGGAGGAGAAAGAGGGAGTTTCTTTCTACAACGACAAGGTATTGGATGAGATCGAATCAAACTGGAAGGCCATCTGCTGGGCATGAGAAGATGGTATCAACACTGCCAAGTAATCCGAATGCCATTAGGATTTCTAGTCCTATAAGAATTACACTTTTATATCAGTTTCCTTGTTGATTTAGTCTTCCTTTTCAGTTTGTGTACGTTTATTAGAGTTAGTTTATGCCTATAAAAGGCTTGGATTGTACCTTGTAACAGGCATATCACAATTGAATAGAAAACCCCAAAATTTGACAACTTGCGAGTTGAGTGTTGACCTTAGGTTTTGGTTGCGATCAAACCTAGTTGATTTGAGTTTATTAACTGAGCCTTCCACCCTCAGTTACTCGAAGACAACCTCATATCTCGAGTGCTTCTTCCCAGGTGTGAATAAATCCTCAGATTTCACCTTTTCTTGAGCTCCAAACTAGCTAGCTAAGCTGGTTTTGGTGTTCTGTTTCTTCAGGAGCAAGAAGGGGCCTCAATTCATTAGAATTGGAGCATAAGTTGTGCTAATTATGATCAATCACCCCCTAGGGTGTTATTAGTCGAGGTAGAAAATATCTCGCAGAGTGAGAACTCCATGGGCGTTTCCTCGACTACAAAAGGAATAAGCGAGGATGTGTGGATGTAACTGAGGTGGAATGCCATATCTCTTGCCTTGCTTATTGTCGGATGATAAGTGTCCGTATCAGAAGGCGCGATCTCCTCCTAAATGGCGGCAACACCGATATCTATCTTCGGATCTTCTAGCGGGAGTGTTTTGTACTCCTCCGGGGTGACATAGTTATTGTTGTACAGACCGTCACGAAGGATGAACTCAGTGAGGGTGAGAGAGTAGGACTCATTCATGAGTCTGAACGTGATTGTATCCGGTGCATCCCAATCTTCGGCAGCTACAACAGCGTTGAAGGTTATTGTGCATATATACTCCATCGTAAGTTCGGCATAGATCGGCTCCTAAATGGCAAATAGGGTATTCCACCTCCCTATAGAAAGTAGCTCCTGGACGGCCCGTCTTTGTGAATTTGCTCGAGGATTGGCCAATGAATGTGTCTTGCTTCTCGATCTTCTTTCTTTTTGAAGTTTGGTAAGGAGTTTCCTGCCAGGGGAGGGTGAAGTTCAAGTATCCATGTCTGTCTGGATCCTCTGCCATGGCCTGCAAAACAAGATCATGAATAGAGAATGGCAAGATATGCAGAAATTTCAGGTTAGGTACACAATTGTCTCAAAATTTCGGCATGAGCTCCGTATATTTATATGCCTCAATAAATTGACAAAATTCCATTCATCAACTATAACTGTGAATCGAATAGATTTGAATCCAAAGGGTAGAACCAAAGGATCCAACAACAATTAAGTATAGCATTTCAAGTTGAATATGGAAAGGAGGATTTCTAGCTCGTCACTTTAGCATTATATGTCGGAAAATCATAATTCAATTTAATTTTGCATACACAATGCAAACTGATTATTGATGATCATATTTGAAAAGAAAGAGGTCAGAAAATCAGCATTACTTCTTTCAAATAGAGACTGATTGCAGAATCCCCAATCGGAATTGTGTTAGAACACTAGATTTTCCAATTTTGAAATTGATGCAATTCAATTAAAATTGGAGCATTCGGAAGCATAAGAATGCACTTGTGAGCTACTACAATCTATTATCAATTGGCAAAAATTTGGATTATTTTGGACATAATTCGACTTCCCCAATACTGTCCAAGAACCCTAATTTCACCCTAAATGAGAATTTGTGGATTAAAGTGGAAATTGAATGGTGAAATGAAGGGTAAACCGTGTTCAATCATTCTAGAGTGTTGAGCAATGGAGCTACTAACCTGATTTGAAGAATTTTGAAAGAAAATCGAGGATGGAGAGCAGGTGGCACGCGATGAAGAGGAGAGAGCCGGAGCCGTTTTCGCTGTTGTCACTAGGTTCCACGACCGGGACGGGGTCGGACTGGAGGAAGAAAGAAAGAAGTTTTCGTGTCTGGAGGAACAAAGCTTCAATAAGCGTCAAGAAGTTGTCGTGTCTGTTTGTCGCCGTTTTCACTGCTGTCGCTGGGTTCCACGACCGGGACGGGATCGGACGGGATCTAACATGCAAAATTCCCGGCAACGGAACCATCGAAGTTGTTGGCATCGATATTGGGCCTTCGGATGCTTGAGTGAGTTCCGTCCAGGGTAGGACGGGCATAATCAGACAATGTCCGATTGTTCATTTTGGCGTGTTCTTCTCCATTGTGTGTGGCTGCGCTTGTTGCTCTCTCCTTCGTTGACGAAAGGTTCTCTCGATCTCGGGGTCAAGGTCGACTAGTCCACGTGGGTGGTTTTGGGTCATGCACTATTTTAAGCACAAAAACAGGAACAACCCATGAAAGCAACAAGTGTGATATAACAAGTAACAAGAAAAATAAGGCGACTAAATTAATATTTCAAACCTTTTTCTAATAACTGAGTCCCCGGGTTTTCTTTCTTCTCCCTTGTGTTTTCCCTTATCCTAGCTTGGAGTAGTCCCTCCTTTCACTTGGGTGTTTGTAAACCCTAGCTACAATTATGTGAATACTTGTATGAATTGAAGGATTTGTGTGTGGTTGTGTTTAATGTGAATGTGGAGGTATGATTCATGAATGATTGTGTTGTGTGGAAGCCTATCAATCTAATTTCCATTCTAACCTAGGTAGAGAACCCCCCCCCCCCTCCCCTTTCATTTCTTTGAATGAGGCTTGAATAATGGATTTTCTTGGGTAATTAGTTGCCTCCTAGTTAGGTTAATGCAGGGCAAACCTCTTATTTCATATTAGCACTTAGGGTTTGGATGTGTCCGAACTCCAATTCGAGGGTAAAATCTAACCTTTCCTTAGTCAATAGGTTGAGAGGGTCGCATTAGTGGCTTGGATCGTATCCCATTTCCTCGACCTAGAGACTAAGAGGGTTGCTTTGGCTACTTGTTGGACAACCATTCCTTAGTCAATAGGTTGAGAGGGTCGCATTAGTGGCTTGGATCGTATCCCATTTCCTCGACCTAGAGACTAAGAGGGTAGATTTGGCTACTTGTTAGACTTCCCTGAGGTTTATAACCCCCTAACCACACATGGTCATTCAATCCTTCAAGTCGTAATTGTTAGCTAGGTGGAGGAACACCCAGGTGAATCCTTCTCAATTAGTGTCAAATCCATTTCATCTTTGCAAAGTACCTTAGTTTTAGATCTTCGTTTTAACCAAAACTATCCGCTAGATAATGTTTCAAACAGTCGAAGTAGTGGTACATGGGCTAGCCCGGGTTGATATTTAAACATGCCCTATATTGCACCCATGACCCATCTAATGTTTATACTTGGACCTTAGGTGGGATTTTATTGTGATAGTCAGAGTGAGTCATGTTTTTGGCACCCCGGTCTGTTATCGTGAAAAGTTTGTTTGGTGTTAATCTAGCTTTTAATTTCTGTTTTGTTAAGTGAGAAGTGTTACTTGTGGTAGACGTGTTGTGTTCTTTTAATGACCTGGAGCAATCCGGCGTCTTTAACACCACTGGACGAGGACATCAACCAGACTTTCCGACTTCTAGCTCGAGAGAGGGAGCAAGCGGAGGAAAGAAGGAGAAGTGAAGAAACAGGACAATAAGTTGGTCCCGGATTTGAAGGAATTGAAGGAGAAGTTGAAGTTGAGATGGCGGGGAATCAACACCGAGGGGCTAATCCGCTTCAAAACCCAAATGTGGAAGCGAGAGCCGAGGAAGAGCCAATGACTATGGGCTATTACATGGCTCCACGGTGGCGGATATTCAATCGCCCATCTTAAATCCACCCGTGGCCGCCAAAAACTTTGAAATCGAGCCCGCTCTTGTGACAATGATTCAAAACAACGCCTACTTTCATGGGCTTGCTCATGAATCACCACGAGAGCATGTCCAAAGGTTTCTTGAGCTAGCGGGAAGCTTGAAGATAAATACCATCCCCGAGGAGGCATTGCGATTGAAGCTCTTCCCCTATTATTTGGCGGGGAAGGTACTCCGATGGCTCAACAACCGTCTGGCTCTATCCATCACCTCTTAGGACGATTTAATCAACAAGTTCATGACTCGACATTGTCCTCCTTCCAAGACGGACGAGTGGAGGAAGAAGATCACTCATTTTGAGCAAGAGGAGGATGAGATTGATGGATCCATGGGAAAGATTCTCCAACTACTTTCTTCAATGCCCTCACCATGGATTCGAGGAGCAATTTCGGATAGAAACTTACTATGGAGGACTCATCCAAGATGACAAGATCCTCATCGATTCTCTTTGCCAAGGGAAGTTGATGAACATGACCCCTCCTCAAGTGATCGAGTTGCTCGAAGATATGGCTCCTAAAGGATATGATTGGGGCTTGACAATAAGTGGGAAGTGAAGCACCTAAAGAGGTGTGTGAAGTGTGGGAGCAAGTGCTCCACTTGAAGCGAAGCTTCACAAGTTGATCAAGGTGATCCTTGAGGACAAGAAGCAAGGGAAAAAAGCGGTGATGTCTTGTTATTGGTGTTCAAGCACTAATCATAAAATTGCAGATTACCAAGCGATGAAGGAGACAAGTACCCCGGAGGAGCAAGTGAGTTTCATTGCCAATGCTAGAGGGAACAAACCTTATAGCAACACCTACAACCTCGGGTGGCAATTTCATCGAAACTTCGCTTGGTCTTCCCCTACCAATCCAAGACCTCCCGGTTTCCAAAGTCCAATGGGAAACTATCAACCTCAGCCAATCTTCATCCAACAAAGGAATCAATTCCAAAACTCGAACTTCCAACAACCATACCAAACAGAAGGCGGTCAAGGGTTTCAACAACAACAACAACAAGTCAACAAGTTTGCTAAGCTTGAAGACCTTGTGACCACCTTTGTCAGTACAAGCTCTCAGAAGTTCGAGAAGATTGAGAAATTCATGGTTGTGGCAACCTCCAAGTTTACCTCGCTTGAGGCGGGACTCTGAAGCCATCAAGCAAGTCTCCAAAACTTGGACGTGCAAATTAGTAATCTTGCTAGGATCTTCACCGATAGACCAAAGGGATCCCTACCCTCTCAAACCTTTACCAACCCCAATGATCATGCCGGGGTGAATGCAATCTATTTGAGGAGTGGGAAGGTGACTCCAGAGGTCGTTGCCAAAGAAGTGAATGAGAAGGAAGATCCTCTACCAGAGGGTGAAGAAAAGGAAACCTCGGGAGAAAAGAGAGGAGTGGCGAGGAAGGCATGGCCGACGCCACCAACTGTGTCTGAGTACACACCATCCCTACCTTTTCCCACGAGGAAGGAAAAGAGCTTAGAGGGAACGTTTAAGTCACGCTAATGCCCGGTGGAAGGAAAAGGGCAAAGCGGAAGTCATTGGCCAAGAAGGACACCCCATGGAGAGAAAGTTGGGAGGCGACATGCCTCACCCCGAGGTCCTGGAGGATCCACTCTTGGTGGCATCATGTTCAAATGATTCATATATCCGCAATGTCAAGCTAGTGACTTTAACTTAGCGCTTGTTGGGAGGCAACCCAACGTAGGTTTGTTTTCTTTTCCTTATTTTCATTTTTGTGTCGAGTGAAGAGTTCAAGTGGTCGAGTGGTATCCCCGTGCCAGGTTTTTGTAATTGTGTTTTTTGAGTTGTGTCGTGAATGGTAGTAGGCACAGTTGAGTAGGTCGAGTAAAAATTTTCAGAAGTACCCTGTTTTCACTGTTGTTCACGGACGGATTGCTCTGTTCACGGACGGATTGCGGTGTTCACGATCTTAATGATCGTGAACTGGCAAACACGTCCGTGAACCGCGGGGTCTGCCTATAAAAGGGTCTTGAATGGTTTTTCTTCACTTCAGGACCCAAAATCTCGCTGGAATCTTTCAAATCTCGTCGGAATATCGCGAAATGTTTTATCCCCTAATCAACCCCTTTGAGCCTTGTGACTTTTGGGGGTCGTTCTCTGTTAGGAGCTTTTTGCTTGTGAACTTAATGGTGTTTGATAGAACGACCCACCCCCCCCCCCCCAATCCTTTCTTCGTGTCTGTTCATGAGTCGTCCTAATATCCCAGAGCTCTCGCTTTTGAGTTCCATTGAGGTTCTACATAGGAGGATTTTGTGCGGTTCTTGCTAGGAAATGAAAGAGAAAAGAGTAGTGTTGGAGTGAGTTGTTAAAAGAGGGCATTGGTTGTTAAAGGTAATGTGGCAAGTGTTTAACTCTCTTCAAAAAGAAAAGAAAAGAAAACGAAAAAGAGGTAATAAAATGAGGTAAATAAAGTAGAGAATGTCACTAAAGAATCAAAGAGTATGCTCTAAGAGGGGTTTCTTGGCACTCAAGCCATTGAAACCCCCACATTGTTATAGAACTCATTCACTACCAAGTCGAAATGTGATAGCAAGAGTAGACCGAGGAAGAGCGTTTAAAGGTAGTTCATGATGGTGATAGTTTGGAAGGAAGAAGCAAGGTTTTTGGCCGATGCTAGTGGCCATTGTTTGTAGGGAAGGTTCTTTGTAGAAACCATAAAAAATTCGAGTTTAGAGTGAAGATGTAAGACTTCATGATGTATTTTCCACCACCCAAAAAGCCTTTTCTGCATGTCCAAGACAATCGCTAGTCATTTGAACCTGTGTCTAAGACCTCCAGACAAGCTAGTGATGACAACCGTTCCGTGAACTCTAACATTTAGTGGTTTCGCAGTGGTGAAGAGACGATAGAGCCGAGTGTGGATGATTGCGCACATTCTTTGCACCAAAAGGTCCCGACCCCACTAGGCAAGAGAGTGAGTGATTCATTCTTGCTTTGCATGTCATATCATACCCCAGTGCGGACCTTTGTTGCCCATTCGTTTGTTCCTTGAACTTGAATGTTATGCATGGTTAGTTGTGGTTGATAAGTGATCTTGTTGAGACTTGCATTGATTCATGAACAAGGTGAGAACTTTTCGTTTGCTCAATTTTGGTGACCTCGAATGTCGTTTGTGGTGGATGTCGGTATTGCTTGCAACGGTCCATGTGTTAATTGCCAATAGCCATTGAAATTCGCCACCTCGTGCCCTTTGATTTGTCCCCAAAGCATTTTTTGCTAGGTTGAGATATTACCTTGTGTGAAATGGTTTGCTTGGGGACAAACAAACGCCTAAGTGTGGGGGATTGATTCGGGCCTAATTGTACACTTTTTATCCCTGTTTCTC